CTTGATTTGCCGCTCAAAAGTAATCGTCATTCCAGCATTTCGGATGAATTTGGTAGAGTCCGAAATTCTTTATCTTGATTTGAGTATTGAATTTTCATGTCAACTTGCTCGTCTGGATTGAACTCGTTTTTGTGTATTCGAGCCAATTGGATGTGATGAATTGAGCTTTTTCGGCACCTATTTTCAGATTTATACAATTCGAACATTTGAAGAAAACACATCAAGTTTTGTCAAATGACTGATCTATTTCCGTCTGGAGGTAGTACTACAATACTAGTCTGTTCTCTCTTAAATGGAAAAGCCAGTTCAATCGTGGGGTGCGATTAGTGAATTCTTCGTGAATCCAGCAAAAATTCATAGGAACACAACTAATAAAACATGAGAGGGATACGATGTCGTATTGGCTGTCTGTCTGTGTTGAATTTCAAGCTGCCAACTTGCTGTTGTCCAAGCTGAACTGTCACGTGCGGAAGATGAAATCGCGCTAAGCTAAGTCGTGCAAGAGAAACATGTTCATTCGGAAGTTCCCTGCGTCGAGCTGGATGTCTCCATCGTGGAGTCGTTTGATGGCCAAGTCGTCCATGAAATTTCAACATGGGCGGTTGATGGTTAAATATATTTTTGGAAAGGTTATGCAATTGTGTTTTACTTGCTAGCTATGAGACTATGACATTTGATTTTTGTAATGAATAACATGAAATGCTGGAAGCTTTCATCTTCGTTGACGAGTTTAACCTGTAAAATGAAAGGAACGCTTTTTGTGGCCATCCATATAGTGTCACCAAAACGGAAATAGTGAGACATCAGAAATAGTTCTAGTCCTCTCAAAATCCCATTCTTCCATGGGTCCTCGTGTAGAGACTCATAATATGCAGTGCATGGTTTATATGGATTGAAGTATACAAAGCACTGACATCATAAGTGAACATATCGTCATCTGGATCCGGTTTTAGATCGGTCTGATCGTCAATCAGTTGATCAGAGCCTCGTAAGTACGGAGATATTTCCTTAAAACAAGGCTGCAATTTGTAGTCGAGCCATCTTGAATGTCCCTTCATAATCGAGCCAGAATTAGAGACGATTGGTCGTAGTTCAAGCATCGATTTATGTATGTATTAATGCATAGAAACGATTCAAAATCTTTTCGCCCAATTGGAACGTTATGAACTTCGTGTGACCCCAATCAGGTTCATGAACGTACTCATGGAATAGAGTATGGTACAGTTTCCTCATTAGGGTTCGGAGGAGTTTAGTAATGGCCTGAGCAGATGCCATAGATTTCTCATAGACAGAAGTGTCCTTAAGATGACGCAGACAAAAGAGAATGTATTGATGTCGCGTCATGAAAGCTGGTCCAAGAATTTTGTCCGTAAACTGTACATGTAGGTGAGGGGACTGTGACATGACCCTGAGTACGAGACGGGGTCCTGAGTCATGTTATAGGTTCTCTTCCTAACTTGGAACGAGGCCTGAGTGATGGAAAGACGCATTGCTCGTAGAGAAGCCTCTACAAACATAGAATGACCCATTGTAGGTTGAAAAGTTGGGTTTGGGCAAAAATCTTTTTCGGAGGCTCTAGCCGAGCCACCTCGGATGATGAAGGTATTTTTGCTTCGAATCCGCCCGAATTTCTATGCATGCGATTTCCAGCACATTTATCAGTTTCGTTAAATCTCCGCTTTCCGCGATCACATTGCCACCGTAATCCTATAATTCGTTCGAAATACGGGAAATGGTCCAAAACTCTCTTGCTAGTAAGACGAGGGGGCGTTAGAATGAACTTAAGTCCAAGACCAAGAAGTCGTTTGAGTGTGAGCGGAATCTTGGTCTCAGCAGGCGTAAGGTCATGGTAGGCGAGGTTTTAGGGCTCGATATCCACGACAGACACAATCCGACAAGAAAAGATGTTGAGCGCATTCGTCTTGATAGAACCATCAGGGTCAAACACAGCTCGATTAGCTAGTCTATTTAACTTAGCTGGTGCTTCGTGGTACGTTTCTTGATGTCTTCGCGCTTGGACTTGGAGTTCTTGGCGTCGCGAGGCTTGGCGACTTGCTTGGCGGCCGCGTTCCATTGCGGTTTGTTGCTTCTGGCGCGCGGATGATCGGCGGCTCTTGCGCCACCGTTTGGCGCCTTGTCTTTGGGCTTGGTCTTGGCTGGTTTCGGGGTTTCAGCTTTGTGAGCAAATGGTGCAGTTGGCGGTCGATTGCAACGGCGGGAAAGGACGGACGGGCCCCAAACGTCGGGGTCCGCCCCAGGAGACGATGGCGAACATATTTTGCATTGGCGGTCATTGGTTTCGGGATGAAGGGAGGGCGCGACGGCGATCCACTGGGACAAAGGAAACAAATTGAATCCAAAGGCGTGAATTAAAAATTTAACAAATTACTGGAGCGAAGCGACTCCGCGCGTAGCGCGTCATGGAGCCCCCATTCGATTGGCTGGTTCGCTAATAGAGTGATTTCATTTATCCTTTCGATGTTCTTCAGTGGACAGTTGTTGGATAGCACGGAAATCTACCAGATTTTCTATACTATACTAATATCTAGCTGAAATTTCTATCGTGGATTGGCTGGTATTGATCACGTCGGATAGGAATTTTTAATTCTGATTGGTTGTTGGCGCATTGACTACAAAAATTGATTGAGTCATCGAAAGTAATCGTGGTGATTACAGTTTCGGGGTTTCGGGGTTTCGGGGTTTCGGGGTTTCGGGGTTTCGGGGTTTCGGGGTTTCG